CAGAAGAATTCTCAAGGGATGTTGACACGTGTTCCCTGTACGTCTTGTATAGGTCAGAGTAGTGGTCATGTTCAGTCACTTTGAACGTCTGGGAGATCAGCTTGTTAATATGTTTTTGTCCACACAGGTGGTGACTGACATACTTGACTTCAAAAGGACCACATCAACATGATGCTAACAACAAGTGGTGAGAGTGTATTCACTGAGTATTCCACCCCTCAATCATCCTTTGCCAGAGTCCCGAGCCAGGCCAGCAAAGAAACAGGCCATGAATTTAGCGGGATCGGTTTTGAGCAATGCGGACTCTGTTGTAGTTACTTAAAAAAAACACACACCTTTCATTTGGATTGTAAAACCTCCTCATGTGATTGATTAATCTAATCAAGGGTCTACATTACTGGCAGGTTCAGAGTCTGAGAGCTCTCAGGAGTTTCGGGATTCTGGACCAAAACGTTGTGATACCAGTCGAATGAATCCCAGACAGCTAAAGTGGCCCAAGTTGAGGAATCATATGTGTATTTTTGTGTATGTTCATTTGGAGACACACAACCAATGGGTTTTGGTCGATCGTCCATCTTCCAGGAAGTGACAACCATATCATTCTGTGACGTTGTGATTTTCCTTTAGCAAACACCAAAGCTGTTTTGCACCACAGACCTGCCCTCACGTCCCCTCCCTAAGACTCGTTTCATCCCGTTTCTATTGAAGAAAACAAACGGTTTGTGGTTTTGACTCCACCCCACAGAGTTGGAGCTTCACATAGGGACCCCAGCTCTCATCTCCCCCCGGTGCATGGACATGGGTGAGGGAAGGGAAGGCATGTTTTTTACAGAGCGGCCGAAGCTTTGGTTCTTATACCGAAAAAAGTCGACAATCTGTTTTCACCTTTTGGGTGATTGGGGATACCCCAGTCGAATCCAGGTGGAAAGCTCCTGAAACACAGCTGGGGGGTCCGGAGTCACGTCGGCGCTCTGGTCTGGGAATACGTCCGGAGTCACGTCGGCGCTCTGGCCACCACCAACCAACGCCCAATACCAAGAAAGAGCACTGACCACTGACCGGGTTCCAGATGTCCAGAAACGATCGACAGACTGGGCGGAAACTTCTGGAAATTCTTGTAGTCCGCACACACCACGACGATGTACCAACATGTGTGCCCACGACGATGCACCAACATTTGCACCCTACATTAAGTGAGCCAACCAAAAGAGAGACACCGAACGTTCTCAGACGTTCTTTGCAGGCTCCCGTTCTCCTTGAGATGGACCCAGCTGAGAGGCTTTCAGAAGCATTGAAGAGGCGTTTCCCTCGCTGTTCGCACAGCGGGGTCGGGGGTGGGTCGGGGGGGGGGGGGGGGGGTGGGGGGGGTATCGCGTGCGAAAGTGGACATTCACTTGAGCCATTTTCAGCCTTTTCTTGGCTGGGCTCTGTGGATTATTGGATGGTTGTTGGTTCAACAGCTTTTGAGTCAGAGATTACTAAAGCATACTATATAAAGCATTCTAAAGCCATATATGTTTGATAGACTCTGTGCTTGCTTACTCTGCTGGCCAGAACCCAGTGATGAGGTGTAACCTCAAGGATCCAGTTTTGTAGTACCAACCATTCAAGGAAGGCCTTCTCCCCTCAAAACACAGGCCAACCGGGTTCTGTGCTGTTCTAGGTACTTTATCAGATTATTTATGCTTTACCAGACTATCGGTCCATCCCTGGGAGCAATTCTACCAGTTCTCTTGAGATTGCAGGCACCATACACTGATTGCCCCTACCGAAACCGCACGAGCCATCGTGCCCATTGATCGGCCAGCCCCATGAGCGCGCTGAAGTCTGCTAGTGAGCAGTTGCATGAAGTGGCAGAGAAGGCGCAAACCTTGAGATGAGATGGACTCACAGTGGGTTCTGTGGCGCAGGAGTTTGTACATGGCCTTTTCAATGGCATGAGATTTCTTCAAAAGTCAGTCCCATGATTTAATCTGCAGTCCATTGCCCTCCCCCATTCATCAGAGGTCGCAACGTTTACTTTGCTCGGACGCATGGACAGATGGTCAAGAAAATCATCCGGGAGTGTACACTACACCATTTCCTCTTTATATAAATTGTTTTCTATATAATATATAGTTGGCGAGTATATACATGCAGTATATGTATATAGTACCTGGACCTTGACCCCTTTGAAGATGCTGGTAGATTTATACGGGGTACATGTATAGTTGTTCGAACACGTAGTTGTTGTTCACCTTCAGCTGCTCGTGGAGAAATCACTTGGAGACCTCACGTCAAGCTCAGCTGCTCTCCTCGGGGACCGGGAGGATCTCCATCTCCCCGCGTCGTTCGTGGAACAGGACCCTTTCAACACAGGTACCTGTCCCCAGTCTCCGAGACACGACAGGAGTACAGGCATAGGTTTCGAGCCTAGTTTGGGTGATGGCTCCAAGTCATGATAATATTGTGTGTAGGCCGTCCGATCTCGGTAAAGACACCATAGACTACAACCTGCCCTGCTCTTGAGTTTGAAGCAGAAAAACGTTGTTGCATGGAGCAGTGTACCCCCCCGACCTCGGCCGACCACTGCAGACCACGAATGCCGTGGCGAAGTTCACAGATGCAGCAACTGAGGCGCCGAGAAGCCGCGGATGAGGTAAAACGGTTTGGAGAAGCATGGACCCGAATTGTAGAAGTTTGACAGAAAGAGAGAAACGGGCACAACCTCGAAACCGTAGTTAAATCATCAGTGATTTCCAGGTCTTGTTTTTGTTTCTGGAGGATCTTTTCATGAACTTGTGTGTCAAATCAGCACTGGCGTAACCGGATGATAGCCGCTGGCTATCGTTTTTCCTACATCATACATGTATGTAAAAGACTTGGAGTTGTTGAAGCAACATACCCAGGGTCTTTTGGAGTTCAGGATGAACATGCTTCCCAACATGCACTCCAATTCCGGCGATGCCATCATGTCTTGGCCCTTGCCGCGATGTTGGTCGGTCCGACGTTCACCCATGACCTGATGGCACCCCATGAACGACCGCCACGGACCCTAACTACCCATCCCCGCCCCATGTTCTGATGCCCATGCACATCCATTTACTGCCGCCACTGGCCGCTGGCTTCACCCTGGACGGATTGACCCGGTCCAGTGACGAACTCGGCGCGAGAGTTCTACAATCCGTCCTAGACAGCCCGACCCGTCCACCACAGCCATGTCGGAGCCTTTAGCGGTCGAGCTGAAGAATGAGGTCGGGCAGGGGCGGGGGCAGGGAGACCGGTTGGTTCACCCGACACGTGATGCTTGGCGAACGAGAGTGTTTGATGACGCTCGCGCGAGGTGTGTGATTGACACACCGGACGTGCGTCCGTCGAACCGGGCGAAGCAGATTAGGATGGATCCTCTAGAGGTGTTTTTAATGTGTTTTACCATCCAGTACTTGCGGAAGACTTTTTTTACGCAGTGGTACGCGTGCAACGGGAGTGACTGGATGTTTTTTATTTTTTTTCAGCAGATGGCGCTATATACAGTGTTCTTGCCCAAACACTTCATGTATGACAATGTCATGTGTAAATATTCCGATCCCATTGAGAAGTGCTGTCTTGCTCGTTTCTTCGGGCAGGCTTCCTCCTCAGTACGGGGCGTCTCAATGTGGGGCACCGTGGTCACCATGCTCAATGTCTTCGTGGGAGGCGTGGTCACCATCCCATGGGTCAGGGTAGTACCTTCTTGGATGTTTAAAGGGAGGTGAGTACCTACTTCCAAAGAAAGGTCGATGGTCCTGGACCCTTAGGGCTGGCGATGCGGAGCTAGGGGACAAGCTGAACGTGCGACATTTTCTGAGAAAGATTGTTGGGTGAGGTGGAGTACCTGGACCCTCTAAATGGGACACGACCCTATGAAAACATGTTCTGAGGGACTTCGTAGAATATGAGTGACATCTGTCGGTATCAACTACACAAGATCTGTCTTATTCATAGGGAAACTCATAAGAAAGCAGATGTCCATTCCAGGTGCTGGCAGAGCAAGAACATGAAAACAAGAGGTATGTTGTAAGGAGCTGGGAGGAGGGTCCATGTTGGTGTCTTTTGTGTGTAAGAGGAGCAACATTTAAATAGATCACCGACATTCCCCAACAGGCAGACTCAGGTCAGCTGTGATTTTGACCTGAATTGGCTTCAACTGAGAGAATTGAAACCAATCGCCTTTAGATTCTGTTCAGTCAAAGACAAGAGCAGCAGTCGGAATAAAAAAACATGTATAGACTCTTGATGAACCAATACCCTCCACCCTTTTGGATTCAAAACACCTCTGAACATATGGGAGTCCCATTGGTATCATCTGGGAGTCCGAAGTGCCGACATACCTGCATGGGAGAGTGCCGCGTATGTGTCGACAGACACGGCCCCATGAGACACCTCCCACCGGTTCGTAGACAAAGAGTGATTCTGTGCTCCTTTTTTTGGTAGGTCATCTGTACAAACTGGAGCGTCTAGGTATAGAACTTAGCTTTTGCAACCAGTGACTAATTAATATACTTTATGCTACTTTTAGTGTTATTTGTATCCATTGACTCTTCTACGCAACATGGAGTGGTTGGTATTTAGGTCTAGCTATGTCTAGCTCTGAAAGTCATCCGACTGGCACTCCCTTGACCCATATGCTCCTCGAGAAATCGACACTTCACAGCCCTTTGGGCCCTTGGAACTCATAGGACTTGAGTGTTTGGAAGCCATTCTCAAGGGAGTAAGATCTTTGGAATGGCCAACCGGATCAGTCGACCGGAATGCTTGTTTATGACCTATCCAAAATGTGGATCACCTGCAACACTGTGATTTTTCTTGGGGGAGGCATATGGGGGGGCACACCACTCAATAACACTTGAACCAGCGATCGTTGCACGGCAAAGAAGCGCAGGTTTCGCCGACGCCGGCCAGGTGGTTCCGTGGTCCTGCCCTACGCCTTCCGCTTGTCCGGGTGGCTTTTCGTGCCCGTGCTCTTGGCGGTTGGCGTGCTGATGGGCTTCACACTTTGGCTTCTTGGCAAGATGGGGTTCTGTAGCGCGGGTCCGGGCTTCGGGGGTTCGGATTTGGAAGGATCCACAGAGGAAGAAGAGACTTCAGAAGGACTGAAACCTCCTGGCAGCTATGCCAAAGAGTGTCCAATCACCTGCCTTCGAGGGTATTCATGGGTTCTATCGGGGATTAAGAGCAACGTGTTGAACTCTTCGCACCGAAGGAAGGTTCATCTCTCTTGGTTGCCAGGACCCCGGGCCCGGCGGACCGGCGGCCCGGTATGGGTGCTTCAGCTCAGCTTTCCAGGCTCCACATGGAGCGTTTGGCTCCATTCGTAGTCATGCCAGGAGCGCCCCTCGTAGCCATGTAAACTGCAAGAGTTCGCATGACCCAATTCTGAGACCTGACCATTTGGCCCATCCGGGTGAGTGACACATACGAGCTGGTGCGAAGCTAAGGAATCTAAGGAATGGGTATCCATTTTCGATGATATTCCTCATTAAACAGGGAGCCAAGGAACTACAGCGAGTTCCCCAACCTCTTGCTAGCATACAGTATACCCAACAGAAGAACACAGGTCACTTGGAAGCCCGTCAAAGTCATGTTCTCATCCCAGTTTCCTGGAGATTGTTTATGATGATGTTTGATCATGGTCCCATTTGCAGTATAGACACACATGTATGAAGACCAGTTGGTGTTATACTTGAGGCCAGGGGTACATCCAGCTGAGGATCATGGGTTTCCTTCTGCAGATGGTCGACCAGAAGGCCGACGAGCTGAATGTGCCACGCTCGCAGCGAGACTGGGGCTGGATCGGCTCCTTGGTTCAGCAATGGGAGACCGGATGACCAGGCCCGACCCTGTTCATGCTGGAAAATGGATGAACATGGGACATGGCCTGAACAAAAAACAGCTACTTCCAAGCTAAAAGATGTGTATATTACCTGGAGGCGACCTGTTCATACGTTGGAGTCTCTTGTTCGTACGGCGTCATACCTGTTTTTTGTTCAGGTCATGTCAGTCATGTCCGGAGGCTGGTGGATCCACATGACTGCTGCATGTCTATCTATGACTCATTAGGTGTTTTGGGGATTGTCTTTGGTGCTCAACATACTCTCCAAAGCCATGTGTCATGAAAGTGGTGTGAAACACGCTGAGATACACTTTGCGTGAAGGAAGATGTGCGTTTCGATATTGTTCCGGAAGTTATGCCATCCACTTCCATGAACTCGCCAGAGCTTATAGAGCATTGAGGACCCCAGAAGTTTAAGGGCCAGTCAAAGGCCAAAGGCCTTCCCCTTGGAGAGTGGTGGGTTTGGTCGGCTTTTGCTTCGATGATCTTTTGATGACTATGATCAACGAGAGGTCGTTGTCAACAAGTGCCAGGGTGTGGCGTGGTGACAAGGGACCTGATTGGGGTGCATGTGGAGCAAACAGACATCACTTGATGGTTGTTTCAGACATGTGTTCATCATTTCTCTCGTGCCCATTCTTGTGCTTCCAGTTGTGGTCTTTGATGGTTTGCGTTATAAGCCGGGGTCAGTCGTTATAAGCCGGGGTCAGTACAAGATATTTCAACCTTTACTTGGGATGATTGAACCCACTGACTAAGACGTTTCAACAGTTTCTAGCTTCGTTGGAACATCATCCACCTCTTCGATTCATGGGGTGAGTGTGGAACCATTTGCCTGCCTACATGGGGTGACTTTAATGCATTACTATGGATAAATATATACCAGGACCCTCCAGTCGGGGTGCCCTGTCTGGAAGCCTATAGGTAGTGTGGGGTAGTCCAGCCAGGACACCCCGACAGGAGGGTCCAGGTATATTCATATTTCATACATGCATGGTCCAAATAGCGTCCCTCCGCCCAAGGTTTGTAAAGGTAGAACCGAACCTGGGGGGGCAATTGGTACTTACCATCGTTCTGTCGGTGGCCCATAGGGTCCAGGTACCTCCTGAGGATGGTCTTGGAGGTGAGTACGTACTTCCAGAGAAATGGTCTTGGGGGGTCAAAGGACATCCTCAGGATGGTCCTGGACCCTTAGGGTGGACAACAAACATCTTTCGTTTGCTCACAGTGTGGGACTGTGGGGCGGCAATTGCTCACCGAAACAACCATGAACCCAATCTGTTCACAACCTGCTGCCATCGCAGCCTTAGCCAGGCTACATGGCCTTCGGAACCCCCGGGCGGCTCTTGTTCGCCGGGTGCATGTTCTTCGACCTCGCAGGAGACCTACGAGGGACGAGGGACGAGTGTTGTGTGTTGGTGTGGGACGAGGTAGACGGTGCGAGGGACTGTCCCAGTGCCATTTTAGTGGTGCTGGGCATATGGCGATGGGTCGCTTGAATTGAATTGATTGGATTCTTCAAATCTGACAAAAGGCAGTGAGAGGGGACAGAAAACATAAGAAAACTTGAGAGGAGGGAGACACGAAAGGTAGGACAGCGGGAAGAGAAGAGAACGCGAGAGGCAAGAACAAAAATGCAATGTTCGACATGGTGATTTATCCCCTCGGAGGCGACCTGTCGTAAATATATGTTCATATGCACTCTAAATGTTCAAACATATGCTCTCGAAATGTTCAAAAAGATTCTGAGGAAAACACACTTGCCCCATGGCTCAGATCATCGGTGAGCATTGAATCGGAGCATCATAGGATTTGAACTATCCTGAAACCATAAGAGGCTCACGAAGACGTTCCCCAGGAGAGAATTGACGTGCTTCACAAAACAAACTCTAGGTATGTATCCCCTCGGGGAACACCTTTCGTGATTATGCACTCTTTCTGAATGTTCAAGAGGGTTTCAACTATCCTGAAATCATGAGAAGCTCACGAAGACGTTCTCCAGGAGAGAATTGAATTTAGAGGGGGGG